AATCTAACTTAAATATTACTAGAATTAAGAATACTGTATCAGATATAAAAGAATAATCTGGCTTGTAAATTATATAAATTTAGGAAACTGTAGATTTAGAAAACATAGATTCTACATCACAGTACCAGAAATCTAAAACATTATATGATATACTTAATAGATATGAGATATATTATCAGTATAGTAATATAATAATAGAGGTCAAATTGTCAATATCAATGATTTTTGTAAAAATACAGTGCTTGACAAAAGTTTCTCCACACCTCTAATTTTCACTAAATCATATGCAAACATGTGAAATTTTATTCACATATAGTATATTGCATGCAAATGTACTAATATTCTTTGGACATGTTTGATTATAAAAATACCTGCTTCAATCATGCATGAAATCTTAACCAAAAAATGTTTCTCACTTTATATAAATAATATGAAATCATTTTTTAAGCACTTATCCAAAAGGTCTCAAGCTTTCAACTTGTAAAACAGCAAAGCAAGTTCACTGTGATGAAAGTTCTGTATGCTATTGAATAAGAAAATAGCATGAAACTAAAAATCCAAGTGATAAACCAAAGTTAGACCATAAAAGGATTACTATCTAAAGACAAAACAAATGAATTTTGAAGCTAAAAAAAAAAAAACAAAAATATTACAGCCTCAGAAATCTATCATGAACTGATAAAACAGAACATCAACATTCATGTGCATATTATTTAATGATGCTTTTGTGAAGATAAAAGTCGTTATTACAAAAAACTCTTAAAGCTTTTGTTTAAGAAAAAGCATCGAAAAAATGTCTTTTGTAGGCAAAGAAGCATAAGGATTTTGACTAGGATTCTATAGTATTTATTGATAAAAGTACTTTCTGCCTGAATCAATAACTAAAAAAAATATAGCAATTTTCTAAAAGAAGAAAATTAATCTGTTCTATCAAGTATCTGATAAAGGTTCACATATAGGTCTATTTTTTTTCTTTAGGTTTTGGCAAATTGGTCTGCTTTATGCATAAGCTTAATGTACAATATATGATCACTCTGTATGAAATAGGCCTTCTGCCTTCTGTTGTGGACCTTTTTAACAAATATTGTGATAGTTGGATCTTGTAGAAGGACAACAATCCAAAACATTATTCAAAAATTGTGAATACTTAAAAAAAAAAAATTGATATCTAGGTTATCTCCTGACTATCAATATTACCTAATCAAAATTTGATTAAAAATATCTGGGGGTTAATGAAAATGAACCTGGCAAAAAAAAAATTAAAACCCTTAGTTGTTTGAAGGATAAAATAACAAGAGAATGAAATAGCTTACCTAAAAAATATATGAAAAATTTAGTTAGAAGTATGAAAGTTGTGTAGAAACCTTAATTGAAGCTAAGAATGATTATATAATGCATTGATTTTTCTTGTAATGCAATATATTTTTAAATAAAAAATTTTTTACTTATCTCACCTCTGTGTTAAATTAGAGGTGTAGAGAAACTTTTGTTAAGCACTATAAAAACTCTGGTCTTTAAGAAATATGAAAGATTCAAAGATATCTAAGAATTTTTAAGATGCAGAGAAAAGTAAAATAAAAAAAATATCTTATAGCTATTATTATTATTTATAGGATATTTAACAAAAAATTAACTAAATAATTATTTTGCTGATTTGATAAGTTATTAATTTTAGTATAAGCTAGATAATATTTACTATTATAATATTAATTATTAATTATTAATAATAATAATCACATAATCAGGTTAGTATACTATAGCTTAGTGGTTTAAATACCTATCTACTCTACAGTCAAGATTTTTGGTTCAAGTTTTACTAGAAGCAGTATTTAGAAATATTTAAATGCAAAACCTTGTAGAAATTCAAGTGAAATATGAATTTAGTTTAAAAATTTTTTAAAGAAAGTTTATTATAGAGAAGAAAAAGTACTATATATAATAGCAGTATTACAGAAGGTTTTATACAGAAAGGTTGTATAAATAAATTTTACAAGTGGTAAAATAATATCAACAACTTTAAAGTAGTCTTGAGATCTTGATTTAAAAGATAATACAACTATAGTACAAATTAGAATAGTAAGAAAAATAGTAAATATAAAAGAACTTGTAGTAAAGAATTAATTTAATCAAATAAAAATTACATTTAGTAATTTATACTAATATGCTAATATAAAATATTAAGTATAGAGAAGTGTTATAGAATATATATATATAAAAGACTTATATATTACCAGTGTTGTAATTTGAACTGTCCAATTAAAATTGTAATTGAATATGAACAAATATGAATTTGAACTAATCAAAATCATATCCATATCCAAATTTTCTAAAAGTATCGAAATTTATTTTGTGTAATATTTTTGGCCAATAAAATATCAGCACATGACTCACATGACTTTAAAAACATAACAGGTTTAACTTTATGTTATTAAAAATTCAATAACCAATCAAATTTTAAAATTAAAAATAATACAACTATAATTTATACTTTTTTAAAATATCTTTTTTCGCTTACTAATAAATATTTAAAAATTCTTCATGTGAATTTTTGTGTTAGTAAATAAAGCTTTTTCTAACTTAATATAATTATAAAACCTAATTTATAATCATAAAATCTGATTCTAATCTAAGAGACAAAATTTTTTACTAAATAGATTAGTAATACAAGAATCTTAAATAGAAATATGAGCAAAAATAATGCATGGCACAAGTTATTGTTTATTAAACACTGCAATAGAGTTTGGAAAGGTGTAAAACAATTCTTTTTTTTAATATAAAAAGAATACGTAACTAGTTCTCTTGAATTTCAAAAAAAAAAAATTCAATAAAGTTAACAAATTCATATAATTGTTTAATGACAATGCCGCTATATGAATATTGTGAAATTATATGAAACTGGTTTGCTTTAAATAAGTTTTTTAAAGACAATTAATTTATTTAATATAGTACATATATATGTATCTTTAAATTATCCAAAACTATTATTTAAATATACACTGGCTAATTATTGTTTGAAGAAATATTATTTTTTTGAGTTATCTTATTATACAAATATAGACAAACAACCTTATTATCTATCTGAATATATAATTGTTCTTGATAAAAAAGCAAACAAATTATGTATCTGTAAAGAATATGTATTAGATACTTTATATGAAGAAGCAAAAAAAAATAAGTTTGCAAATATACAAGAACTTGTTCGCCATTATTTAAAAAATTGTATATTCTTGTTTAAAAAATTATACAACTGATTTTTAATTAGATAACTAGTCTTAAAATATAAAAATTAAAATTAATCATTACTATTTGTGATCTTTAAATAAAAATCAACAAGAATATTTTGAGCATCTTTTATTTAAAGCAACTATTTTGTATAGTTTTGCTTTTTTTTAGATAGAAAATCTTGAGATAAAAGAATTATTTTTATCTACTAATTAAGCTACTTTCATGACAAGATCTTGGTAGTCAAATTTTAGCAGATTTAGTATATAAAATAACAAAATTTATTAAAAATTTAGCATAGCAAAACAAGGTTGGAGTTATACTAGCATATGATAGCCAAAAAAATATTAAAAGAAAATTGATTTTTGGAAATATCTTAATTATTTTAACAGGTAAAATCCTTATTTGGAATACAAAAAATATATTAAAAAAATATACAAAATAGTTAAATGTGCAATATCGAACTAAAAAATTTTTGATGATTTAAAAAATGAAAAATTAAAGTTAATGCTATTGTAACAGATTGCACCTCTGAATATGAAGCTGCCAAGTAATAAAGTTTATATATTATATGAGTTTATAAATTATAAATTAGTACTCATATATTATTTTTAATTTAATTTAGAAAATATTTACAATGAGCATATTCAGATATTATATTTATAACTTGTTTCACTCATTAGATGAATTTATATGTTGAGAATATTTTTAAACATTCAAATTTACTTACAACTGTTGCAGAGCAAGCTATTTATCTAGTTTGTTTTTTTTATAAATTAATTTTTTTTTAGAGCATCTTCACTCAGAACAAGCAGCAATATATGGATTCTATATTTTTTTTGTATCTCCAAATTGTACACGATAAAATAGTCATTATTTGTGTTTTGCTAATATTATTAAAACTCGTGCTGCTCTTAAAAATTTAGCTACCAAAATTGAAGATGTTAATGAAAATTTTAAAAATTTTTCTGAAGATATTTTTCTTAATATTTCAAACAATAAGTAGTGAAAAAAACTTATATAATTAAAGATTCTTCTTAAATCTATATGGTATCATTAAATAAACTTCAACAGAATAAAGGTTATCTCACTAATATTCTTCATGGTTTTGAATAAATATGTTAGGTAATTAAAGATATTTCTAACCAAGATCTTAAAAATCATTTAATAAACTAAAAATTGATGGTTAAGCTAGAAGCAACCATTGCTACTTTTATCTTTTATTTTATATTTTACTTATCGTACTATCTATTTTAATCAAAATTTTGACAGAATTTTTTTGTATATATGAGAAAATAGCTCAAGCATTATTATAAATCTTGGTTTAAGAATTCTCTATGTTCTATTTTATATAAATTACAATATTATAAAAATCAAGAATACCTATTTGATAAAGAAACTTTTGATCATTTTAGTGATAACGTATTATTATATTAGAATTTTTGTAAAGGAATAGCTATAGAATTACATATTGTAGCTATTCGTATTTTTTCAATTTGTATAATAACTGCATCAGTAGAATGATTGTTTTTAGCTATAAGATAATATTATTTACTATGATATAACTGACTTAAAGTAAATATATATTATTTATTTTTTTTTTTATAATTTTAATTTTGTTATTTTATATTTGTATAATTTAATATTTTAAAAAAGTTCTTGCTATAAGCCAAATAAGATTAGAACTTATATGTTTATAAAATATTGTAGCTATTGACAAGTTATTAAAAATATATAAACAAACTATTGCTACTTTAATTAATATACAATATGAAGAAATGAATCTTGATGAAAATATAGAAGAAGATGCAGAAGAGGTGATTTAGATAGATATTAATTATTTAAAAATTGTTATCTCTGTAAATTACTAGAAAGCAGTTGTAGAACAATAGATTAATATAACTGAAAAAGATAATGATAAATATATGAACAACTATTCGAATAATTTAAGTAAATCAAAAGCTTTGGCTAATTTATATGAAAAAGAAATACTTCAAGATTATATAATTTATCCTGCTAACAATTTGACAATAAAATAAAAATTAGCAAATATTTTTACAAATTTATTGATACAATCTAATTATATTAATTTGTTTTTAAGAAATTAATAGTATAAAAATATTTTTATAGTATTAATATAAAAGATATTGAACTTAAATAAATATATATATATTATAAGTTCAGTAAATATATAGTTTCACTTATTTATTATTGAATTACAATGAATATATTTTAATACAAAACTATTTGCAATTTTCAACTATATAAATAATAAATAAACTTGTAATATTATAACAAAATATATGATATTTTGATAATTTAATAAGTTTAAAAAGTTTTTTCTCTTTAAAGTTTATTTATATTATAATTATAATCTATACTAAAAATTGTATTTGTGAAAGAAATTTTATTTAGATATTATTAAATTATCTAGTTATCTAGATAATTTATTATAGCTATAAAATAAAAATTTTACTTAGATACATATAGGTGCTATAATTAGGGGACGTCTAAAGCAGAGGCAAATCATGTGATCAACCGCCAATCAAATTATAGAATTTTGATGATCATTGGCGAAGCAAAACAAAAAATAAAAACCAAAAACTCGAAAAATACAAAAAACGGCCGTCTAAACCTACCTCGGGTAAGTTAATCAAAAATGTCGGGAAGGCAATTTTGCTTATATTTAACTATCTAAAACCTATCCTGACCCTAATATAGGATGGCCCTAACCCTAAAGTTAATCGATAACATTATTAAGAAATATGAGTGCCTCCACTTTAGACATCCCCTATAATTATACAAGATATGCATAATATATTATCTCAAATGCAACAGTAAATTTGAACATAAATTATTAAAATATTTGTTGTATAATTTAAATAAAAATTTAAAATCAGCTTTGATAAATTTAGATATATACTCTTTATAATCGACAATAATAATTCTAAATTTTGAATAGATAAATATTAAAGTCAAAAAAAAAAAAAACTAATTTAATAATTCATGAGTAATACAATTAAGTTTATATAAAGTTTAAACTCATATTAATTAAGAATGCTTGAATTATTTAATCAAATTAATTTGATCTTTACTAAAATTATTGGTATTTTAAAAGTTACTATATATTTATAAAGATAAATATATTTCATATCAAAAAGCTTGTTTTCTAATTTTATTAATATCTGCAACTATGTAATATATTTGTAAGACTAATTATTAGATATTAGATTTTGGTACAACTATTTCTAACTAATCAAAATTTATAATTATTGTTATACAGATCACATGTTATTATTTAAACTAAGCGTATATATCCAATTAAAAAATATAGACAATATAAATATAGTCCATATCTGTTTATATCCAATTGTCTATATTGCTCTTATCTATAATTTAACAATACTATATATTATAGTCAAACTTTCTTAAATGCAACCTCTATAAATATAATACCTTCCTAAATGTATATTTTTGTCTTGGCTGAATGAAATCATTAGTGCTAAATGCATATTTTATATTCTGCAAATATATATTTACTCAAAAGATTTTTTATATCATACTAACCTTCCTAAGTACATATAATTAATCAGAAGTTAGTATTTAAGTTTGTTATACAAGCCTGCAGATCAATATTAAAAGCTACAATTTGATTAGCACTCTTTAAATACAAACCTCTCTAAATACATATTTTAGGCTAGTTTGTATATATTGCATTTATGGAAGTTTGACTGTATTAGTATAAATTGTATTTAATTAAAAGTTTTTGACAAAATACAAGACTAATATAGATATATCAATTCTAAAACATTAACTAATATAGCTATTATATAAATTAAAAGTAATATTGTTATACAAATTTGATTAAAAATAATTTTACTCATTAGAATCATATTTATATCTAATTTTATACTAATTCAAGAAGTATATTAAATAAATATACTATATATATACTAAAAAGAATATAAAGATTAGTTAAAATAATAGAAGAAAATTCTAATAATTTTATTTAAAGTAGAAATCTATATATAAACAGATATATATATCAAATTAAATGATATTTAGATATAATAGTAAAAAAATCTTATCAATTTTAATAGTTTATATAATATTTAGTAGATATACTACTATATATACAAAATATAATATATATAATAGTATAAAAATTTTGATATATCAATAATAGAGTTAGATATATTGAATAGAAATATATATTATAAATAAAATAGTTTTAAACTGTAGTCTTATTAGTTGCAATAATACTATATATATTTTGATGATTTAAAAGCTTTTTTGATACTACCCAATATCTAAATATTTAAGTATTAAAAGTATTTAGAGTATATCCAAGCTTTAATAATTAATAAATTTGTTTAAAAAATATATAATTATATATTTTTTTATATGTTAAATATATTTTACTTAGAAATTAATATAGATTATTTTAATAAAATTTTGAGTAATTTTAATTTATTTAATTATACAAAATTGTCTAAAATATTCAAACTTACTATTTACAACTATTCTATAATAAATTTTTTTTTATATTAAGATGACTACTTGGGGTCTGGTATGGTTTATTAACTTCACAGGTCAATTATTTAGATACCGAATAGATATCTCTTGACTTTGTTACATCAACAAGAGTATAATTGGTCATATGTACAACTTTAATTATTGCTTATTTAAAGGCTCCACTATATCTATTACTATCTATAGTTACCCACCAATTGCTATACTTAAGATCTGCTTGTAAATTCTCTATTTAAACCCTCTGATCGACTTAGCGCTATTAGATGCTTTTCCCAGAAGAATTTCTGCTGCTAAGGCCCCTTAGAACTAGTTTATCCTTATAGTAAACCTACTAAAGTAGTCCATGTCTCATATATATATTACTTGAATTTTTTAGTAACTTACACCCCAATCCGAAGACTAGAACTTGTAGTCTTTATCACTCTACTGTTGTCTACTCCTTGCTTTTACAAGGTTTGTTCTGATCCTAATATCCACTTTCAACCAGCCTTTATATCGAACCTTCTCTGATTACTAAACTAGTTAGCCTGAATAAGTTGTTGTATCTAGGCTCTAAGTGCTTTCTGGTTTTACTTCTCTTGGTTTC